GTCAGGAGAAGAAAGACACGGACCTGTTGGAGCGGTTCCAGAGGAGGGCCACGAAAATGATCAGGGGGATGGAACACCTCTCCTATGAAGGAAGGCTGAGAGAGTTGGGGTTGTTCAGCCTAGAGAGGAGCAGGCTTCGGGGAGACCTTATTGCATCCTTTCAATATTTAAAGGGGGCTTCTAAAAAAGATGGGGACAGGCTTTTTAGCAGGGCCTGTTGCGACAGGACAAGGGGGAATGGTTTTAAACTAAAAGAGGGTAGATTTAAACTAGATACAAGGAGAAATTTTTTATGCTGAGGGTGGTGAAGCACTGGCACAGGTTGCCCAGAGAGGTGGTGGGTGCCCCATCCCCGGAACCATTCAAGGTCAGGTTGGACGGGGCTCTGAGCAACCTGATTTAGTTGAAGGTGTCCCTGCTCACTGCAGGGGGGCTGGACTAGATGGCCTTTAGAGGTCCCTTCCAACCCAAACTATTCTATGAAATAGTCCCCAAATACTGCAAATTAAATGTAGTAGCTTGCTTGTTTTGGCAGATGTTGGTGCTAACCTGAACTTCAAAGCCAATGGATTTTTCCTTCACAAAAGGTTTATAATGTCATCTTAAGTCATCTTTGTGTATGTTGCAAGAATTATACGCAAAGTAGAAGCTGTTTCATGTGACAGTCTCTCTAGGATCTGTAGGGTTATCAAACATGCAGCTCTAACGTTTCTAAAGGTCTCTTGCAGAGTTGTTTGAGAGCAAACAGGATTTTTACAAGCAAAGCTCTGTGACTTAAAGTAATAAATGCAATGTGAAAGGTTTTTGAGGACATCAAAATGTGTTGGCAGAATGCTGAAGCTGTAGGATCTGATTATGCCAAAGTGCATCAGGTTGCAGAATGCAATTGACTGTCAGTGGCTTTTTGTTGTCATATATCTGCAAATAGACATTTTCATCAAAGATGATCTATGTGTTGGAACGTGTACTGTGGCAAAACAGCTTGATTATGTGTATTGTGCAGGTTAATGGAAAAAAACTGTCTACTATATATAGTTAAACCCCAGATTGTGTTTTTTGTAAATGGAATACTCATTTATTTTAAAAGGGAGTATTCATTTTCCAAAGAAGTAATAAAAGCTTCCTGAAAGGGAGGGAGGGGCGAGGGTTATTTAATTGATCTAGGATGGTTTTGGTGCACTTTCATAATTTCATTGTTTAAGTAACTTTAAAATCCAGTTGGTTTAGTGATGTAAAAGCCCAATACGAAGCATAGAACTGTTTCATGTGTGGAAATTCTTTCAAATGGGTATTGTGAAGTCTCTTCTGTCATTTTTCATCATACATACCTTTGCAGTAAGATTTCTAATTGCTTCGTTCATTGCATTTTTGGTGTTTTCCAGTCTTTCAGGAGAATATATATTATTTTTTTTCTTCCTTAATTACAAAAATGCTCTTACAGCCTTATGCTGTATTTAACTCTGTGTGCTTCCTACTTCTATGATTTTTTTTAGGTTTTTTTTTTTTTTTTACTCTTCTTTTCAGGTGTAGCATCATTTATTTATTCTGTAGATGAATTTGTTGGGTTTTATTTAACCATTTGTGGAAATTGGTCTTTACATTCTCATTCTGTGTTTTGTACTTAAAATATTGTCAAAAATGTGCTCTTTCCTATCAGCTAAGTTCTTGCGTTGCTTTGGTGTGTGCTAATTTACCACCTGGTTGTTGGGTGCTGTATGGGGCCATCTCAAGCAATTTAGTATGAAACTTAAGCCTTTACTAAATCTTCAAATTTTTCATGTGTCATACAAATGACTAAAATATTGAAGATTGCTCAGAAAGTGAGTTGGTGTGTTAAAGCCTCGTGGACTGCTTGGCACTAATCCTTTTATTTAACGGCAACAGAATTGAAGGCAGTTTTTATTGAGCTCAACTACTTTAAATAACTTGCTTTAATCTCAGGAATGTTCCTTGTATTTGCACTAGTCCTACCTGAAACAATAGGTGCCTGCTGGTTTTGGTGCTGATCAAATATGGTTTTATATACAGAATATCATTTTGCCTCCAAAGAAGAACTAGAGAGAAAGTAACTCTTTCACACATCTTGTGGGAAAGTCCTGCAAGATGTGTTCATTTTTACTATGTACACTGCTTCACAGCAGGATCTCCTGGCTCTTACTAAGCTGTAGGTGAAGTAACTGCGAGTTTCTCTTAATGGTTCTGGTTTTAGTGCTTATTTTTGTCTAGAAATTTATTCTAGAACTTTTTTTCTGTGACAGCTTAAATAAATCTTTAGGAGTTTGCCTGAAAGGTGTGTGCATTTTTTTTTTTGTTTTGTTTTCTTAACAGGCAGTTATTCAAAATTGAAGGAGTTAAAAGTATTTTCTTTGGACCAGACTTCATCACAGTCACCAAGGTAAGCAGAACAGAGATTCAAATGTACTAAAAGATGAGCTGAGATGTAGACGGCCGTAGAGAAGATCCAGTCAGACTCCTGGACGTGCACAGTGAAAGTACCAGAGGCAATGTTCACAAGTGGCATAAAGGGAATTGTCTTTAATATAAAGGAAAAAAAAAATCACAGTGTGTGGGTAGGCACTGGAATAGGTTGCCCAGAGAATTTGTAGATTCTTTGATCTTGGAAGCGGTCAGTGTTAGACTGGATGAGGCCCTGTGCACCATGGTCAGCTTGGAAGTTGGCTCTGCTTCGAACAGGAATCGGGGCTAGATGACCTCCAGGGAACGCTTCCAAAGGAGATGATTGTGTGATTGGGATGGAGCACATTGCAGGCAGCGTTGTGTTTACCCAAGGTGCGGAGCTCATGTGTCAGCAGAGATAAGGTGTTGCGTAGTAACTGTGCAGTTATGCTCTTATTGTGTGAAGAGCACAGGGCAATTCAGTGAATGGTAATTTGGCTCAAAATTAAATGGAACCAAACAAGCTTGAGTCTCTGAAACAGTTTGGTAAAAATACGTGTCAAATAAGGTATTTAGGAGACTTTATTTTTCACCTCTTTTTAGCTAATATTTTAATAGTACTTGGCTTACAAACAAGGAAACCTTTCTGTTGACTATTATAAATTGAGTCTTACTGAACTTTTTTGGTAAAGCTGAACTTGACAAAACTATGAAATCAAATCCATGCGTCAAACATGAGAGCCCATTATATTTTTAACATAAGAAGAATCTCTGTGTAACAAATTATTATTATTAGGAGGCAGATACTCTATTTTTATTCATGTTTTTTTTCTTCTGATTCTCATAGGAGAGTGAAGACCTGGATTGGAACTTACTGAAACCAGATATTTATGCAACTATAATGGATTTCTTTGCCTCTGGCTTACCTGTACTTACTGAAGAGGCACCTAGGACTGATACAGGTAAATCAAACTCTTCAGGAAGAGGCCAGTATCTGCCTTTGGGTTTAGTTTTTGTGACATCCAGAAGAGCCTCCACTTGTCCCTCAGAAAAACACGCAAGAGAATTTAAAGTGAAAACTGCTAAAATTAACAGAGGAGAGGATTTGCAGAACACGTATGTTGTAGTGGAAGCAATGCTGCACTGTCTAAAGGAGTTACTTACCCATGAATATGAAGCCCGGTTCTCATCTGCTGCAGTATGAGGAGTGTATCTTCACAGGAGCTATGCTGAACTATGTGTTTTGGCAGTGTGGACCATGTTCTGTTACGCTTTGTGTGTGTGAAACATTTTTGCTAGTACTGAGGCTGTGTTTAGAAAGCTGTAAGGTGTTGCTGCATATCCTTTTTGTATGGGCACCTACAAAGGGTTTTATTTCCCTCCTTAAATCAAAAAAGAGTGCCCAGGCTTAATGTCTGTGTCTTAATGATAGGTTTATGGTCTTAAATGAACAAGAAATAGTAAGAAGTCTTTTCCAAACCATAATAGAAAGTAACTGAGACTAACTTATAATTTAACTCAAGGGCAGTATTTTGCCTTTCACTTTCTCATTTGCAACTTACCAACTTAAATAATTTTTCCAGTGTTTTAAGGAAGATTATGACTATTGAATTCCTCTCTGCTCTGTTATGTCTGGATTTAATTTCAATATTAACATAGACTTTATTTTATTTGAAAAAGTTGTCTTTAAAAATGCTTCTGCAAGACTAACACTGAGCTTAAAATTGCATCCAGAGCCGCTAAACGCAGACACATTCATAATTCTGCTGCTGCTGAATTTTTTAGGTTGCTAAAACTTTCCTTCTGAGGATCCTGCCTTAACCCATGCATCTTTATTGAATGTTAGTTGTTGCTTCCTTTAAAAGGTGGCACTACTATTGTCTGTTAAGGCCTTTGCCTGTTGAAAAGACCAATACTGGTTTTTGTCAGTGAAAGCCTGGGATGTAAATAAGGATAATGCAGAAAAAGATACTTACTCTGAATTAAGCCTTCTGCCTTTTGGTTTCAGTCATCTCAGCAATGTTTTTATGCTATTTTCATTCTGCCATTATGGATATACAGTGTCAGTAATCATATCGGAATTCTCTCCAAGTTCTGATTTGCACATTTTTCTTTTCCCAAGCTGCATCAGAAGATGATGATGAAGTTGTACTGATGATTAAAGAACTGCTGGATACAAGAATAAGGTAAACCAGGAACGTTACTGCTAGATGGATTGAGTTAGTCTTGGGGTTTGGATTTATTTAGGGAACAGTGCATTTTTCTTTGGGTATGTGTGATTTCATGGTTCAATGTCTAGTGTGGGGGTTTAAAGTGCAAAACTGGCCAGAGCTGAGAATGCGGTTTCCTCTAATAGAAAACTTTCTATCTAGTTTTCCTGTTTAAGCAAACTGTGTGCTGAACAGAGTCCTTATTGCTGAGTGATTTTAGACCAGTGTATGGTCTTACCCTCCATAATGCATTTAAACAGGTCCATTTGGTTTAACCTGGCTATTTTTAAATAGCGAAAACAACACAATCTTTGCTTTTACAGTAACTTTTTTTTTCCTCTGTTCTATTAATCTCTGTCTTAATTGTAATTGTCCTTCTCTTCTAAGTATTCTGAAGTAGTTTATACTCTTGTATCTTACTCTAAAGGAAAATTTACTAGTGGGTTTCCTTTGCTGTCTGGGCTTCAGTGAATTTTGTCCTTGCATTCTGTTGCAATTTTATTGGTATTTTAACACAGCTTGAATTTAGAAACTGGTGGTAACTAATGAAGTCTCAAGAGCGGCTATGGATCGTGTTGTTTACCTGAAGTATATCTTTATGCTCATTAATTGCCTTCCAAAGTGGACTGAAAGGAATAAGCAACTTGACATTTTAGATGCAGGGGAAAATGTCTGATGTGTTTCTGAAGCTGTGATACCTGATGGTGACATCTTTTCCAGCTCACAAATTACAGGAACCAGAAACTTGTATGTGGGTCAAAATAATGGAATTCAGTTTAATTTTTCCAGAAGTTATGATGAACTTGGGCTTTTTTATTTCTTTTTTTTTTAGATGCTGCCTTTTAAAAGTGATATTTAAAAATACTGTTTTGGTTATCTCACAGCTGACACATGGTACCGGTTAATTTTCCTGAAAGGAAAGAGGGAGAAAAGCAGAAATAGGCTGGAACGTTTTTCCCAAGCATATGTACTAGGCGTTGAAACGTGTAACCCAAGTTTACTGTTGTATAAAGCCGTGACAGAAAGTAACATTCAGGAGGCCCTGCTCTTGCTGGGTATGTGGTCGTTTAAGCTCCCTGTGGTATGTTAGTCCTTGATTTCCCAGTGGCCTTTCGTAACAGTCACAGAATTTCTGCCCAAGTTTCTGGTTTTCCCCACCTTTTTCCTTCTTTCATTTCCTTCCCCCTGTACCCCTCGGTGGACCGAGAAGCTGTTGGTGAGAATATTAGCAGTAGTGTGTATCTTCATTTTATAGCAGGATAGTTTACAGAAGCTATATATAAACCAGTGGTACATACAGAGCATTTATTGTTTAGTCGATCAAAAATATGTGCAAAGAAGTTGTCAGAAGGTGCAGGATGGAGGGAATGTAGATCTGAAAGGTCCTGTAGTGTGTTAAAAAAGTTAATTTCAACTAAGAAAAATGGAATTTTTAGTCATGTTCTTTGGCTTTCTGGAATGGAGATGATTTGCTATGGTGAGTTGTTAATAAATGTGTCAGATTCATAGATCATTCTCTTAGGGGTGTAGCTCTCAAAAGAGTTATTTTGGAAATCAGTATAAAGAGCTTCTGTTAGAGTAACTTGGTGGTTTTAGCTTGGTCTGGAAAAATGTTGCTATGGGGATGCACTTACAATGCTGGGCATTTGCTGCTTGCAAAAGGAGACCAGGCTGCAGAAATGCTAATAGTACTGGGGTGTGATCTTATCAGATGCTGGTTTCTTCACCCGTTAGCAGGATTAAGCTTTTATATAGTTGGAGCTTTTTTTCTGTCCTGTGCAAACGATGGTGAACTGTGTATTTATTTATGGAAGCATTTAAGGACTTCTTATCACTGTCCCTAGTCAGGTAGCAGATGCACATGCATTGTGTGGTGGGACACACCTATTATATTTGGCACGTAACTGAGGCAATCACCGTTACGTGTGGAGAGGGCCTCAAAGCAAACCGGTATGTCTTTGCAGGCTGAATCAAGCTCTACTCTAAGGTGCTTACCCTCGCCCCTAGAATTTCAATGATTCCTTCGTATGCTGCTGCATTCGTTGCAAATATGTTTTGCTTAACGTCCTATGGAAAAACAGTAGCCATCAATGTGAGAGAGTCCAGCAAAGGATGAGTTGTTGGAAATTTGAACCAGGTGGTTGTAGGGAAAGAGGGCTTTAGTTACTATACCTTGTCAGTTCTTTGTGTCTATTAAATTGAGCTTTACTAACAATTTCTGGAAGGCAATGTGTTTCAGCTATACTTGCTTTAAATTGAGTATCGTGTTCCATCAGGCCGACAGTGCAAGAAGATGGTGGTGATGTTATTTATAAAGGCTTTGAGGATGGGATTGTGCAGCTGAAGTTGCAGGGTTCGTGCACCAGCTGTCCCAGTTCCATCATCACCCTGAAGAACGGGATACAGAACATGCTCCAATTCTACATCCCTGAAGTGGAAGGCGTGGAACAGGTGGGTTGGTGAGAGATAATAGCTGTTTTAAATGGAAAAGAAGGTCTTTGTCCCTTTCTAGCGTGGACAGGTTGGCAGTTGGAGCAAAAGTACAGGCTAGATAGATGCAGTTTTTCCGAGTCAGAAGCTGTATCTTAGCAAAAGATCCAGAACTCTGCAAAGTCCTGTACAACCCCATGCACCAAAATATGCTGGGGACTGCCTGGCTGGAAAGCAGCTTTGCAGAAAAGGACCTGGGGTCCTGGTGGGTGCCAAGTTGAACTTGCGCCAGCAATGTGCCTTTATGGCAAGGTGGTTGGCGATATCGCGGGCTGTATTAAGGGGAGTGTTGCCAGCAGGTTGAGGGAGGTGATTCCTCGTTGGACTCTCTCCAATGTGCCAACGTCCCTCTTCTACTGAGGAGCCCAGAACTGGACACTCTGTGTTTGCCAGTGATTGGTACCTTTGTGCTTTGGTGACTTTGTGTGATAATAAGGGACAAGCTTTTGTCCCCTAAAATGCAGATTCTTTTGCTTTCTCATTAAAAACCTGATACGCTGTAGTGATTGTTCTAGTGGCCTTTGTAATAACTTGACCAGCTCCTATTATTGTGCCAAGTTGAACTTGCGCCAGCAATGTGCCTTTATGGCAAGGTGGTTGGCGATATCGCGGGCTGTATTAAGGGGAGTGTTGCCAGCAGGTTGAGGGAGGTGATTCCTCGTTGGACTCTCTCCAATGTGCCAACGTCCCTCTTCTACTGAGGAGCCCAGAACTGGACACTCTGTGTTTGCCAGTGATTGGTACCTTTGTGCTTTGGTGACTTTGTGTGATAATAAGGGACAAGCTTTTGTCCCCTAAAATGCAGATTCTTTTGCTTTCTCATTAAAAACCTGATACGCTGTAGTGATTGTTCTAGTGGCCTTTGTAATAACTTGACCAGCTCCTATTATTTCAGTCACATTTCCTCCTGGCATTTTTGATTGCAAGTTTTTCTTACCTTCTTCATGTGACCATTGTCATTCAGCGGTGTAGAATAACTGCTGTTCTCCTTGGGTCCAGCAAGGATTCAATGTAATAAATTCTCTGTGCAATCCTATGGGACTGAGAGTTTAAACTGTTTACCTAAGCTACTGCCGGATTTGATTTCAGGTTGTTGACGACGACGATGACGTGGAGAAAGAAGCAAATTCTACCTGAGCTAGCATCATCTATGGCCAAATAAGTATTTACTTCTTGGTGTACGTAAACTGTCTTTGTGCTAAGGAACAACCAAATTTGCCTTTCTCTTCAGAAAAATAATTGCACTTATACCTGTGGAAATGTATCATCAGTTTAAGCAGTTTGTCCACTAATTTATTAAATGTCCTGCATTCAAAAAAGAAACCTTTTGTTCTACTTTGTACTGTCTTAAGAAAGAAATGGTGGGCTTGGAAAATGGTGATGTGTCTCTCCATTCTTCTTTCGTACAAAAAATTCAAGACTGAAAAAAAGGCAGAAGTAAAGTTTCTTGACCGTTTTTTTGTGCAATAGAAATATTAAATATTTATTCCCCCAAATCTCCTTATGGGGCTTGCAGGACTATCTGCCCTTGCTCTATAATTGAGAAATTCAGGAATGTTGATTTTATCAAGTCTTCTTAAAAAGCTTTTGATTCATATCAGGTTTTTGTGTGAAAAATAACCTGTAACTTGAATTTTTCATTTTAGAGGAAGTAATATTGTCATCACTTGTGGAAAGTTACCTACTTGCTCACTACCACTGTGCAAACAATAGCAACAGAAACAAAGAATGTGAGTTGTTTGTTATAAAAATAATGTCTTTTAAAATAAATATTAGAAGATGATCCTTATCAGCTTTAGTAAGTAGAGAGACTAATTAGCTTATTTAGAAGTAAAATTGTTCAGCCACCATTAGTGGTCTGTTTAAACTTGCAGAAGATGATTTCTCAACATAATACTCCAACATCAAGATGAACATGCAGTGCTTAAGGGCACAAATTACATTTGTAGGATAGCAAAGAAAATTAATGTGTTTACCTATGCCATATCCTGTTTGTTCCTTCTGCAGTGCCAAAGAGTGCAGCGTATGTGTAACTTGGCTGCCCTGGCTGAGCGAGGGAAGACGTGGCAGAGCAGAACACGTTCCAGTTTTAGAGACTATGGGAAGAGAAATATTTATTGTTCTGAAATTGAAATACGTAAATCAGGCTTTGCGAGTACTTCTGTTTACTTGTGCATGTAAGGCTTAATTTCTTCCTGGTGCCTAGCTTTAGCAGATGGCTTTGCTACCAGAAATACTATTTCTTCTTTGTGCTGCCACAGTCGAGCTGGGTTTGCGGTCATTATTTGGCTTATGGTTATAGTAGTGTTCCCTGTGTGCAAGGATTTGACAGCCTCTGGCATGTTCTCCTCTTTCACTCCTTGCCAGTGTAATTCCACTGAGTCCCTAAATGGGATCAATTAAGTCAGTGGAGAATCTTTTATATAGCATGCCGATCAGCATGTAGTAGCCATAAACTTCATATTACTTGTTAGAAATTTGAAAATAAATATTTTAGCAAAATATTTCTTCAGCTTTCATGGAGAGTAATAACCTACAGTCATTTAAATTACCGACTCAGGATTTGGAAATGAGTTTGAAATTACCATGTTTTCTTTACCCTGTCATGAAGTACGCAGTGCCTGATCTTACAAGTATATCGATGACAAAATTCCCCTCGAGGTAGGCTCAGACTATCCAAAAGAGAAGTTGTGCCAACGTTATCGCCATGTTGTTCTTTGTCAGCAAACCATAGAATGGCGAGTAATGTTTCTGGTTACTCAAAAATACAGCTTTTTAGGCCTGATTTGTCAATTTAATGCACTATATAAGCCAAAACTTAAACAGCAAAGTAGCTGGTTTGTGTGTTAAATAAAATGTATCTCTTAAAGATGTGGTCTTTATTCTTCAGTTAAGCAGTACTAATCTCTTCCAGTACAGTAAGGATCCAGTTCTGCTGCAATCTTTGTATTTCCAGTCTTGTTTTTAACGGGGTTTCGATTTGTACAAATAGGACCAAATTAAGCCTGCATGTACTGAGGCTGAAGATTAAGCATCTTGTGATCTTGAGACTGAAGAGATTCCATGTCCAGCATGTATTCTGCGTGTCCTCAAGTTCCTCAAGCTCTGTCGTGGAAAGAGAAGCGCATAACGCTCGGGTCCCATCCTCTTTTTATCTGTTCTGTCCCACTACAAAGTAAGCTCTTTAGGGCAGTGGTTGCAGTTCTACAACATAAAGCAATGGGGGGGCTCTCCAACTCTGGATAAACGAAAGCAGAGGGAGGGGGTTAAGTGACAATTCTCACTTGGGGAGCAAAACAAAACCCAACTGTATTTGCAGCATTAGCAATAACCATAAACTCTAGTAGTATGACAGCCCAATGTAGTAAAATCGTCAGCCCAAATCATTAGAGTTTCTGTGCGAACCTTCCAAGCTCTGTCTGGAACAGCTTAGTTCATGGAAAGAATCCCTGTTAGCGAGAGGTGTCCCGTCTCCTCCGCTCGCCCAAAAACCCTTTCACATTCACGGACACTGAGGCAAACAGGGGAATATAGTAATGACTGTTCAGCGTTTAGCTTAGGAGTTAATGAGGTGGCCAGCGTCCTCTGCGGCCATATGGTATGTAATGGGATGTTCTTGCAGTTCTTTTTTTAAAGAGGGCTCTTCAGTTAGGGGGCTGGGAAGCTGTGCTGTACCGTAACGCTCGGGTCAGCGAGGTTTTTTGACTCTGAAGTTTTTCTATAAATGGCAGTTAGTCATCACATTTAAAATAGTAATGACTGAAATTATTCTGGTAGTTTTTTAAAGAAAAGAAGTACTTTGGTATTTTTGCTGTGCCGTAGATAAGTGCAAAATTACAGTCTGTCATTCAGCCATTTTTGTTTTCACCCATGTCAGATAGAGAAAACACACAAAATACATTCATTGCCAAGTTGCCTAAGCACTCTTCTAGCACTCTCTTTTATAGGAAAAGTTGATTACAGCTATCTAAACTCTTGCCGTCTTGAAACTGTTCGCAGGTGGATGTGCTTTTTGTCAGGATGTGACTCATTCCATGCTTCTAGGAGAAATTAGCCTGTTTGTCTATAAGGCAGTCTTCTGATAACACTGTAGTGTACGGCGTGAAGCAATCGACAGCCGCAGCCTTCGCTGACAGCATTTTTGGAGCAGGTACTTTCAACACAGTAGCAGGAGGAAATAGCTCACGCTACCTGATGTTAATATTCCAAATGTGTTGTATCAGGGTCACAAAACATACTCTTTTCCAGGAGGTGATAGTTTGCAATCTATCTAAAATTCAGGACTTTGGCCATAACTGCTATTTCAAGTGAAGGATGTTGAGCTTAGAGGAGAAGGAAGCAGGGTTTTTTTCCCCAGCCACGACCCCTTTTGTTAATTTTAAAAGGCTCACGTGTGAGAGAGAGTTTGGGAAACTGTTTTCACATTTCTCCATTTGGTAGTTAAGTTGCACATTTACATCTCCATGAACTATATGTGGTAGTAAAACCATGTACTGTATGTACAGCAAACCTCAGAATAAAGTAACAAGTTACATAGGGCATAAATACTGGCTTTTATGGGGAAAAAATTAAATAGCCACTTCAAAACTAAACACATGGAACTAAATTTCTGTATGTGTCAAGTTCTGCGGAATTTGCACCAGATTAGTACATGTGGATGGATGAATTAGCCTCGGTTTGAGGGATGCGTTTTTATAACATCAAGTATGGTATAGGTTTAAGTCGTAAAGTTTGGTATTTGCTGTGCTGCTGACATGAACTATGTATTTTGGGAGTGGTTGTAAGGCCTGTCCATGCTGCTTCAGGCCTGGGGCATCCCTCATTATAAGTGGGGTCATATCCTTTCATTTGTCTTCAGACAGTGCTATATTGTTTTAGGTTTGTAGTGAATGCCTTAAGAAAGTGGTAAGAAGTCACGATCCGGGAGCTACTGCTGGGGAGCAAAGAAACCCACAACGTAGAAATAAACCAGTAGATGAATCCGGTGTGCCTGGTAGATCCGTACCAAAGAGAGTTTGAGCAGCGGCCAAAGCTGAGGAGAGCAATATTTCTGTGCCAACGTATATTGCGTATCTTTCTGGTGATCACCTTTCCGATTTGCGCTATTGCGATGGGTTAGTAGTTCCCTTCTCATCCGGGAAATCAACTTCTGCTGCCACAAGGCATTCAGCTTCCTAATTAAAGATGCAGAAATGGGGAAGAAAAAAAAAAAAATCATAATTTGAAGTCAGCCCTCCTCCACCTTCACAACTGACAAGGGAAATAAAGCACCGAGCAGCTTGATTCCAGATTCCTACTCTACGCCAGCCAGTCCTAGGAGCTGGGACTAACTGCTTGGGTTATTCCTGTGATGTCTTCGCTGCTGAGCAAAAGCACAGAGGCGGCCGCGTGCGCTGGCTGCGAACTTTTAATGTTTCTTAGATCGGTGACCTTCCTGCTTCGGTTTGTGTTCAGCCGGGTTCTTCTAGCAGCGAGTTCAAAATCTACCCCGTCCTGGGTTTTTTTTTTTTATGTATACTAACATTTTTGGTTGTTTTCTGGGCTTTTTAGGGAAATCTTTCTTTATTCACTTTTTAGTGTTGAGATAAAGTTAAGCGAACAGCATTTTTCTTAAGAAGGGACTGCTATCTTTTTGTAGCCTTAGGCTTTTAATAAGTTTTTCAAACAGTATTTGATCGTGGCAGTTACATGTAGACAGCGTAACTACGCTGTCCGGCTGTATGAACAAGTATATCGCTCCTTTGTCAGTCGTGCCCGTCCCAGTTTGCTTTGCAGATTCATCTTAATGGTTTCTTTATCTTGCTTCTGAATAGGTGCTATTATAGAGCAGTCAGAGTAGAAATGAGAAGATAGGCCACGTGGATTTCGGGGAGGATGCGTGCCGTGTCGTGGGGGTACGGGAGTTACTGCCTTACGGCTGACTGCTGCTTATTCACCACCTGACCCTGGAAAACCCCTTGGGTGTTTAGGATTCATCACTGAGGCCTCTCCGAACGCCGACTGCTGTCGAAAGGTTTGGGGCTAATCCCGTGTGTATCGCTCCTGACTGCTGTGAACGTGAGTTGTCCCCCTGCTGCCGTTCACGGGCTGCGAGATGGGCCGAAAAGCTGGCCGGGGGAACAGGAACGCCCTCCCCTCTGCCTCTGGGGCGTCCCCGCGGGCTCCTGGGGGGAGGCGCGGGGCTGCGGCCCCGGGTTTATTCCCCCCCGCCCCGCCGCGGCTGCACGAAGCGCCGGCTGCGCCGCCCGTCGCTACGGGGGAAGGACGGGGA